TTCGCTGTCTAGCAGCCTCTCACTCTCCTCGCTGTCTAGCAGCCTCTCACTCTCCTCGCTGTCTAGCAGCCTCTCACTCTCCTCGCTGTCTAGCAGCCTCTCACTCTCCTCGCTGTCTAGCAGCCTCTCACTCTCCTCGCTGTCTATCAGCCTCTCACTCTCTTCGCTGTCTATCAGCCTCTCACTCTCCTCGCTGTCTAGCAGCCTCTCTCAGCCCTTCTCACTCTTTTGTCTGTCAACCTCTCCCTCTTTTCTGTTTTTCAGTCTCTCCCTCTCTTTTCCGTCTATAAGCCCCTCATCCTCTTCTGTTACTCCGTATGGCACTCCGTCTCACTTCTCCCCCCCCTCCATCTCTCTCTCTTTGCCTATGCCTCTCCCACTCTCTTTCCTCCTCTGTCTCTCCCTCTCTCTCTCTCTTCCTCTGTCACTCCCACTCTCTTCCTTCCTCTGAATCACCACCTCTCTTTCTTCCTCTGAATCTCCTTCTCTCTTTCTTCCTCTAAATCTCTATCTTCTCTTCTCTATTTGCTTTTCCCTTGTCTCTTGTCTCTTTTACACTAATATACAGGCGTGCAATGCAGTTTTCATTACTATTTTCACTATATATGCACACTTAATAGCGCGCGCGCGCGCACACACACACACACACACACACACACACACACACACACACACACACACACACACACACACACACACACACACATCTGATTTGTTCTCCCTATTTTTGGCGAGCAACCTCACATACGGCAGCCGGGTCGCGCTCTGACGGATGGCGGAGGTAATGCAACCCGACGGAACGGGAAATCCAGGATGAGGTCTCGAGGGGCGCCCAGAGGACTCTCGTGCCGGGAGACTGAGGGGGGGGGGGGGGTGGCTGGCGAGACATCATGTACAACCCATCGGGAGCAGAAGGCGGCCAAGGGGGGTAGTAACAGAGGAGAGGGCAGTTAGTGGAGGAAGGAGGAGGAGGAGAGTGAGGAGGAGGAGAGTGAGGAGGAGGAGAGTGCGAGGGCGAGGAAGGGGAGACGGAGGACGTAGAGGTCAAGAGAGGACAAAGTGAGCGTGAAGATGCAGAATGGGAGGGGGCGGATACACGGGAGAGAGAGAAAAGGGTGAAGAGCTAAGAGAGAAGAGAGAGGTGTGAAAGAGGGAGTGGGGAGGGGGAGGGGGAGGGGGAGGGGGACGGGGACGGAGACGGATAGACGGATAGGAGATAGGGGAGAGACAGAGACAGAGACAGAGAGAGAGAGAGAGAGAGAGAGAGAGAGAGAGAGAGAGAGAGAGAGAGAGAGAGAGAGAGAGAGAGAGAGAGGAGGGGGAGAGGATGCCCTACGACAGGAGAGAAAAGAGAGAAGAGAGCGAGGGCGTAAAGTGGGAGGGCAGGGAGAGGGTAATGGAGAATGAGGAGGAAGTAGAGGAGGAAGATAAGGGGAAGGAGAAGGAAAGGGAGAGGGAGGAAAAGAGGAGGCCCGAGCACTACTATTGATCTTCGGGCGCGCGCTGACTCCAATTCGATCCAGCGGCGGAGACCGAACGGAGGTGAGAGTCGGCCGCCTCGCACCGCACTTCGGCTCCCGCACCGCACTCCGTGGCGAAGGGCAAAGCTAGGGCGGCACTGCACGCACACGACGCCACTCACTTGTCTCCGGAGACACTCGCTTTCCCTCACGCACGACGTCTTCTGAATCTCTGAATCTCTGAATCTCTCTCTATCTCTCTCTCTCTCTCTCTCACTCTCTCCCTCTTCCTTCCTACTGAAGAAACACCAGCATTTCAGCGTGGCTCCGTCGGGCGCCGCCCAAGGCGCTGCCGGGGTGGGTACTCACATATCAGAGACCTTATCCATGGTGGAAATCGGCGGGCGGCGCGGCAGAGAGGTTGGGACGAGGAGCGCGTCAGCCGCGACTGTCGTAGGAGCGAGCACTGAGGCCCTACCGGCGTCGCCCGCTCCGTCCCTCTCCCTCCACGCATGCACTCTCCCTCCCTCCCTCCTCGCCCCCCTCCCCCCGCCCGCCACCCACTACATTACTCTCAATCCATCCCCGAACAATAACCTCCTTCGCTCCACCTCCGCCCAATTCGCCATAGAGTGTACACGCCGACTTTCAATCCCGTCGGTTCCGTGGGCGCTTCCCGCTTGCCGCCGCCATCTCTGCAATGCCTTGCAGCGCCTTTGCACCTTTGCACTTTCCTCCATACCACCCACCGCCTCCGCAACAACCTCTAAGCCGCCCGCCACCACGTCTAAACCACTCTCACCCACGCCCACATCCAAACCCTCACAGTCGCCCTCGCTCTCCACTATAAACCACAAACAGTTCAGTCTCGCCTCTGTCACTCAGCTCCTCTGCATCACCTGTGTGCAACAGAACTTTCTCCATCAGTGCAGACCATTGCACCGAACGCTCCTCTAACTCATCACCTCTGCAGCCTTACTTTTCTTTTCGTCAGTCACTTCATAACCTGGACATGACCCTTCCTGCTCATCACATGACATGACCCTTCCTGCTCATCACATGACATGACCCTTCCTGCTCATCACATGACATGACCCTTCCTGCTCATTACATGGCATGACCCCTCCTGCTTATCACATGACATGACCCTTCCTGCTCATCACATGACATGACCCTTCCTGCTCATCACATGACATGACCCTTCCTGCTCATCACATGACATGACCCCTCCTGCTCATCACATGACATGACCCTTCCTGCTCATCACATGGCATGACCCTTCCTGCTCATCACATGGCATGACCCTTCCTGCTCATCACATGACATGACATGACCCCTCCTGCTCATCACATGACATGACCCCTCCTGCTCATCACATGACATGACCCTTCCTGCTCATCACATGGCATGACCCCTCCTGCTCATCACATGGCATGACCCCTCCTGCTCATCACATGGCATGACCCCTCCTGCTCATCACATGGCATGACCCTTCCTGCTCATCACATGGCATGACCCTTCCTGCTCATCACATGGCATGACCCATCCTGCTCATCACATGACATGATCCTTCCTGCTCATCACATGACATGACCCCTCCTGCTCATCACATGACATGACCCTTCCTGCTCATCACATGACATGACCCCTCCTGCTCATCACATGACATGACCCTTGCGTGGTTCCGGCGACTGCTGCTTCCCACTCGGCCCATCGCCGCCGTCGCCTCTCCGTCAGGTTTTCCCTTCGAATCGCTCTCGCGCTGCGTTCGGCATACTCTGTCGATTTCCGCTCTCCCAACTATTTCGTTTGCGATTAACTACTACATTATGTCGTGGTTTAAAATCATATTTGAATTCATGCAGCATGAGTAAGGCTCATATGCTCATGCAGAGGGGAACAGAGAGAATGAACCTCCTTAAACATGCCAAATGATTAAGCCAAAGCGGAACGCCAGGCCGCTCCGAGGGCCATCATTAAACACTTCACGTGACAGAGCACAGCGTGAAGGCCGCAGAGAACTGGGATGCCAAGGGCCCGGGTCGCCCATTTCCAGGCGGCGTGACGCTGCGCCCATGCATGGTAAGAAGCTTTATTCTCCCTACACTCAGGCGGGACGGCGCGGCTCAGCGGGGTCATTCTATCTGGATTCTTATCGCATGGGAATTGTGCGCCTGGATGTGGCTCGAACAAGACTGTTGCTTCTAACTACTGATTTGGTGGACACAAGACAAATGAAGTAATTATTATCTAAAATTAATTAGAGTTCTGACGGACTCTATCAACGGTTTTCTGCACATCAAAAGCAAACGGGGGGAGGGGAGATTCTGGGACTAAAGGCACCCCCTCCAACGGCCAGAGGAGGCTCGCCATTAGCACATCGGGAGTAGCAATGGACGTGGGAACACGGCAAAGCTGTTGCTTACTGAGTGTTGGTGAAGCTCGTGTTGCCATGCAGGCCCTCTCCCCGCGCGCGGCTATCTGTCACGCCCTCCCTCGGACCCCCGCCCTTTGGCAGTCGGTTCCACGTAAGGTAATCTTGCTATCATCTTCACCTGTGCACCCCCCCCCCCCCCCTGCCCCTGAATCTGCACGGCACGACGCCACCCATCACCTCAGGAACTGCTCCGAAAGATGCTCCTTGCCCCTTACCCCCCCTCTCCGGCACCCCTCCCTATCCGCCGGCTCCGCACATCCATCTTCGCGCCAACAAAATGCCGCTGCCCACCACGGCCACGCGGCCTCCCGATAAGACACGTTCGGCGCCTGTCGCCCGATGCAGCCTCTTGGGCGGGGCCGGCGGGGAGAGATGGGGGGGGGGGGTCTGGGATATCTCAGGAGATCTTTCTTGTTTACGTCCACCAATACTCAGTGCTTGCAACAGTCGGCACATGTCATAAAAAGCCATGCAATAAACCCAATTTCAACATGCATGACACAATATGAGTGAAGTGTGGCCTCACGTATCCAGCATGGCATGGCCGACCCTCAACGGGCGGAGAGTTGGCGTGCCAAACGAACTACTTATTATTATGACATACCATCTCGCCTTATTCCTCAACAACTGTTCTGTATACTCACCTGAAAAGAGAAGAAAAATAGTATTAGTCGAGAAAGAAAAAAACAAAACAAATATAGTGTTTACGTCACTGTGTCGCTAGCGACAAATACCTCCACGAACCCAAAACACCCATGCCATCTCCGGGAAAAAAAATATTTTTTAAAGGCGCTTGGAATATGAGAAGCCCGTCTGAGCAAGGGTGTCCCTTGGCCACCACTTAGGAACAAGGAGGTAAACAACATGTGAAGCCTCAGCGCACTCTGAAGCTCTCCATACAAGCCGGGCTGAAGCGCCAGCCACAGATTCCAGTAAGGCTTCCGCTATGGCAGATAATGGGCTGAAACGACAACTCTCCCCGCACTGCCGTTCAGCGTCCGAAACGGCAATTCAAGGCTTCCTTCTCATTATTCAACTTCGCCAAACTCCCACGAAGCATAACTCTGTATCAGTTCTCATAAACCCTATTCATATCAATATAC